GGAGGAGCTGAACTCGGGACAAGCCACTCACTGAAGTCAAGAGTTAGCATTGAAACCATGGGGTCCCTCTGGGAGGAACTCGAACAGCCCATCCCACCCCATTCCTGGCTGTATTTGGGGAATAGGATGATGATGATGAGGGTCCCAACACCCCTTTCACCAAACCCACACACTTACCAGCCTCTAATCTCCCAATGTTGATCAGTGCAAAATCATATTCACTGCTCAGGGGCGTATCCTGGAGGAAGCACATAACCGCTACAGCAGACATCTGTAGTAACCCTTGTCTTCCCTAATTTGGTGGTCCCCACCCACTCTAGGAGGCAATGCCCCTAGAAATAACCCCTATTGGCTATCACTTATACATTCAAAAGACACACTTTAATCCATAACTCTTGTCTAAATCCTTCTAGACTCCCCTACCCATTTAACTCTCGCTGTCTGTTCTGTTGACCTAGTCATCTCACCTGACTCCGCTGCCATCCATAGGGCTGGAAGGTGACCCTAAAGTTAGTACAGATCAGGGTTCCAGACAATTCAGGTTCTAGCCCTTTCCTCAGTCCTGGGGCCCATGCTAGGATCTGTTCCCCTAAAAGGGAAGAAGGGAAGCCTGGTTATGACTAGCCTTAATGTTACTTGGCACATAGTAAATGAGAAAAGGAGGAATGGTCAAGAAAACAGGATGGGGCTGGGGATAGAGCTAAGTGGCAGTGCCTGCAATAGAAGAAAGACAGAAAACAGGGAATAGCAAAGTCTAAGCTCTCAACCAGATAGGGACAGAGGGAAAAAAGGAGGCCTCAGACAGAAGCACTTTGAGACAGGAAAGGAACTCAGAGGTATCTTTGGTGAGGCTGTGAAACAAAGTTGAGTAGGATGAAATTTGGAGGTGTCTTAGGAAATCAGGTCATTACCTGGGAGGCATCCAGAGGCCAGGCAACTGCCAAGCTGACGACTCCTGGGCTCAGGCATCCTGTTTCCCTGGACAGACTTTGGTCCCAACTGTTGAGAAGGGTGTAGGGTTAATGCTGGGCCTCCCCAACTCTGGGGTCTAGAATTATCTCAGCAACTGCCTTTGAAGGCTTCTGTACCCAGACTCATGGGGAAACTGAGCTCTGCTGTGGGGAACCAGGACTGGGGTTGGCAGGCAGTAAAGGGAGGGACTGGTTAATGGATAATGAGACCACATGAGACTGTAAAAGGCAGATCAAGCTCCATCAACCAAAGTTGATATGACAGACACACCCTCTTCCTCTAGATCCTTTTCTTCCCCTCCGTATCTCCACTGCATCCCCATTCACACTCTCTTGCCAAACCCCCAATCCTCCTTACCCTCATCTCTGGCTCCTCCTTCTGGGGGGCAATGTTGAAACTCTGGCCCCGACCCCCCCACCACATTTCTCTGGCTCCATCCGGGGATGGAGCAGTTAAGGGTGGGAAACCTTAAGGATGCTCAGTCCTTCTGGGGAGAAGCTGAATCTTGTAGTTGACAAGACGGAGGTTAGGAAGAGAAGCAGTGGGGAAGACAGGAAGGAAACGGGCATTTGAGGTGCACAGAGCACAGTTTGGGGTCTTTGGAAAGGTATGTCCAGCCCAGCAAGAGTAGGCTCCTCGGAAACTTCAGTCGATTCTGGAGAGGGCGGGAGACAGGCCCAGCCCCTTAAAGGAGAATGCACACAATTTTGGAGAAGTAGAGAGGAAATGGAGGAGCCTGAGAAAGATGAGAGGAATAGAAAACAGAGAAAAATGCCGAGACCCCCTTCTTTACCCCAAGCCCACATCCTACTCTCTTCCTGTTCATGAGTATTAGAGATGTTTAAGGGAGGTGGGGGGGAGGCTGTAATACTGATTACTGGAATGACTTGGGCTATGTCTTCGGACTCTTCCAGGGAGGACTTTCCTAGGAAGCTCAGTTTTTGTTTGGCTTCTTAAAGGGCACAAGAGGATAGGGATGCAGAGTAGTTCAGGTCTGCCTACTGCCTTCTCTGACAAATCTAACACAAATGGTTGTGAAGAAGTAAATGGAAAACTGGATCTCAGATTTTGTCAGGAAAGGTTCAAGAATTGGGGAGAGGGCTGGTCACAATTTTTGTTCATCCTGCAGAGTACCTGAAACATGGCTCACGTGAAGAGATCAGAGGAGAAGGGAGGAAGTTGAGATGTGTCCAGGATGCAGACACGTTGCAGGTACATTTGTGTGCATGTCTTTCGAGTGGGGCTGGGAGGCCAAAAACAAGCCCTTACACTTAAACCTTGACCATTAAAGCACACTAGGCGTACCTCTCCACTCAGGCTCCAACTAAATGGCAGTAAATCCCCAGCCCAGGTACGTGACTCCACCCCTTCAGCCCAGACACCAGATCTCCAAATGAATGATTCATGTTCAGGGCTTTCAAACCTGAGGCTGGAAACTTTCAGTACAAGATCACAGCCCCCCTCCTTCCCTGCTGCAACCCAAGAAGCCAAGATGGTGGGGGAGGTCTAGAAACAAGTAGAGGAGATGCAGCCGAGGGTCACTTGGGAGAAGCAATGCAAAACTGTTTATTATGAAAAAGACAGGAAATAAAATACAAAGTAACAGTTTAATGAGCCGCTGTTTTATTGTTTTTTGACTCTGTACAGAGGCAGCAATCCTTAGGTGGGGGCTCCAGTTTTCCAAACTGACATTCAACTCTCCCCCTCCCCGCAGCACACATACCCTTCTGGCCTCAGCTTTAATAAAATTTCCCTGTCTTGGCTGCAACTATGGAAATAGTGAAGATATTGTGAGACAGGGAGTCAGTCTGGAACAAAAAAGTATACACCTGCTAGGAAAGGGGCCCAGAAGCCTAATTCTAGAAGTTCTAAAAGCTACTGAGCACCACCACCCCACCTCACACCCCTGTACCCAATTCACGGACCTCAACCTCTCCGGGAAAGAAAATACTTCCCAAACTCTGTTGTAAATAAGAAAACAAAGCATAGGAAGTGATGTGTACCACAATTTTAAAATCCCATTATCTACTTCTCACTACTCTTCATTCAAGAGCAACATTCTGTTCTTTAATACTTTTGAGGTATGGGAGCAGCAAAGGAATAGAGAGAAAAAAAAAAAAAAAAAAACATCAGGGGGAATGGGTGGGGGGATTGGAGAGAAATAAATTGGATGATTTGGATCAGCACCTAACCAGGAATGCAAAGGGGGGCAGTAGCTGATTATTAACAGGACCACTTTTCACTACCCCCAACACAAACCCGGTAGAAGTTCACTGGATGAAAAGGAGGGTGGAGAAGGGGCTGTATCAGATTTTTCCATTTTCAGAATCCTGCTCTGGTTGCAGGTTTGTGCCAGGAGTGAAAGCTGATTGGGAGGGGCAGTTGGAGGAGGGAGGTGGAGCTGAGTGACTCACAAGATGAGTCACAGATCCAGTTATAAACATAAAAAGAGGCCAAGGTCCTTCCCACCCCCACTCCTCTTAGCCAGTTTCCGTTGCTCCTTTTTACTGTCCCTTAACCATGTGGCCAAAAAAGGAAGGTGGCACAGAGAAAGTCTACATGGGGGCATCATAATAAATATTTTGTTAATCAACTTAAGTACAGGGGGCAAAACGCCCTATGATTTACAGACTGATCAGCTGCAAAGAGACAGAGTGCCTGTATGACTCACTGAATCTGCAGTTGAAGAGCCTGGAGGGAAAGAAGGAAATTAGAAAAATCTGGGGTGCAGGTGGTTACAGGCAGGGAAGGGGCTTCTAATTCTGGCTCTCACTAGTGGCTGTATGTCGGGGGCACTGCCTCCTTGGAGAAAGAAGAGGACAAAAGAATCCAGAGGTATCTGAGTAATTCAGGGATAATCATCTCTGAAATGCTCCTGTATTAAGAGGAAAAAAAGTGCCTGGAACTTTGGACATGTGGCTAAAAGGAGTCATAACAGCAAAAGCTAGGTTCTCAGAAGTCAGCTCCAATTCTTTCTGGCTCCAAAATATACAATATGCTCCAAAATACACATTGCTAATTTTTGTGTGTTGGTTTGAGCTTCAGTTTTGCTTTGAGAAGATGAGAGCCAACAGGAGGGAAGACACTTCCATTCAAAGTCCCTGCACAGTGCTGGGTTTAACGCCACCCTCTACTCCTTAAAAAGACTGAATCTTAAAAATCATCGTCATCATTATCATCTATATATTTTGTTGAGTTAACTTTTAACTCTCAATAAAAATTAAGGGAGGAATCCAGAGGCCTACCCTGTAACGTATCTGTTCCACTGTGGACAGGACAGAAAAATGTGGAGGGGACAGCACTGTCCTAAATCAAAAGGGGAAAAATAAGAAACCTGAAAATCTCCCCTCTACATTAAAAACTTCAGTAGGTACCCTAGATGCCCTGGATTAAAGGAACTAAGTGCACTTAAATTTAAGCCTGAGATGATTTCATACTTTATCTAGGGATTCAGGGTCCACCTTCTCCCTTCACTCACATACTCCTCCTTAACCAAGGAACTTTTGCTCATTTTGAGTACACCCCATGTAACCCCTCCCTCCCTTCTTCTCAACAGAGATTGCCCTTCCTCTTTCCTACAACAAACCAATACTTGTCAGTCTTAATTTCCCAGATATTATTCCTAACTCCTAACCCACCCAACCCCTCTGCCCCGTAATAAAGCAAACATCACTATCCCCCATTAAAAAAAAAAAAAAAAAATCCATTGTTTCAGGGTCCCAAATCCTTAGAATGAAGGTTTTTTAAAATCTCTTAATAGTACCTTCCCGAGCTTTAAAAAAAATCTTAATAAAATCCTTACATAAGGCCTAAAGCCCTTTTTCCTCATAATTACTTCCTTCCTCTCCCCATCAAATTTCCATCTTCTTTTTTTTTTCATTTGAAAAGAGAGTAAAAAGAACTGAGATTGGCTTATTTATAAATAAAAACAAACATGATACAAAGTTTCTGGTTTTGTTCATTTGTCCTCCGTTTTTAAAACAAAAGCATTAACTAAAATCTAACAACAGATCAAATTCAAACAGCAGTCCAATGGAGGATCAACTTCCCTGGTTTTATTCTCTGGGGAAACCCCTGGTCTGTTTCCACTTCTATTGGTCCAGGCCATCATCCTATGATATGGAAGCCTAAGGGAGTGTGGGGAGAGCCCAGTGTTGGTTTAAGCCACTAAGTGTCTTGTACATGGTAGGGATGGAGGCTCACATGGAAGATTCATCAGTGTTATTCAACCCCAGAAACAGGGACAAGACTAGGGTGAGGTGAACAAGGCACTCACTGTGGGCACAAAATGGAAGAAGTGATTAAAAACCCAGGTAAATACTATTTTGACACAATTTTTTAAAAATTAAAACTAAAGTTAAAAAAAACTCATGATGAACAACATTTCAAACATTTAACTAAAGACAGGATCCGTCCTCATACTTGATTAATCCAACCTCACTTCTCTCACCCAAATTCTGGTCCTTGGTCAGATCCTGTCTTCAAGATTTTGATTTTTGTTCAACATGGATTTTTGGTGTTCATTTTTTTAAAAAATACTGAACTTTTATAAAAGTATTGGATTACTGAGTACTCATTTAAATTGTGTGCCTGAGGGGAGTGCACATCTCATGCTAGGTTCTTTTATAGATATCCCTTTCTTTGGAGTCTCGTTGCTTCCTTAAAACCAATCTATTGTCAAATAAATGCCTGAGAATTAATAGCCACAGTTAATGATTAAATCAGCAGACTAGTCAATTTTGGAAAATAAGTGACTTTCGCCTTTGTTGAGGAGAAAGGAACCTTTCTAAATTGAGCAGTTCTAATGAGTGAGTCTTGACTGGCTTTGTTGGTGAGGGAAAAAATGGGATGAAAACTTTTGGGGACTGGGCAGAAGGAACATATGCAAATCAGAGTACCCCCAACACACACATTCCCAGCTTGTGCGCCTCGGATCAAATGTGGGGATTCTATTCCACTACACACTGATGAACACATACCTCAACAAAGAAGTTCAAGCACAGAAAAATAGCCCCAATTAAAACTCTGGACACTTAAGTACAATTATTCCCCTTCTCCATATGCACCTAGGAGTGTATACAATTGCATAGTTGATTTTTCCCCCAGGAAAAAATATAAAGAAACGGAAAACTGGCCCAGGAAGGACTTCTGGCTTAAAGCTCTTAGAAATGGTTCTGGCCAGATCATAAGCTGCCCAGACTTGTGCTTTGTGCAAAATGCAAAGGACCTCCCCCCAACTGTGTCTACATCCCTATCTGCTGGATAATAGGGTTGGGTCAATGAAAGGGAGAAATCCAAAGACAGATCAGCTCATTGGGAGTTATCTGTGATCTGTGGTTATAGTTCACTAAAATATATTTCTCTAACTACCTTTTTATAAATTGCCCTAACCCCCACCCCATGTTTCAACTTCAGTCCTAATATCAAAAATATCTCTTCTTACAAAGTTTATTTATTTATTTATTTTAATAAACTAACCACAGATTAAGGTCAGCTCTGGCTTAACAAAAGAAGCCGGGATGTTAAGTTCATTCTCCAAAAGTAGAGAGGAAGGAGAAAAATCACTTAAATAGGAAAAAAAATAATAATAATTTTTAAAGTGTTTTGTTTGTCGGGGTCCTTTTGTTTCTTTTCTTTAAAAAAAATTAGTCAATAAAATAAGTTGCTTTCTACAGAAAAACAGCAGCAGAGGATATTAGTGCTTTATGTAGGTTTTTGGTTTTGTTTGAAACAGTCTGGCCAAATGTCTGTCCTTATCCCACCCCTCCCAAGATGCACTTGACCCTCACATATGGTTATTGCTAAGTAGTTAGATCACTCTGCACCCATTCACCTGGAGAAAATTCAACACACAGCTGCTCTTCTCATCACTCTCTTTTCCAGAGGAATTTTTTTTTTAAATAAAATTAAAATCTTTAAAAAAAAAATCACAACCTTCTTAACTTAGCTGAGCTCAGCCTCAAAAAGGATGAGGAAAAGAGAGGAGGCAATCTCCTTTCAAACTAGATAGATGACTATTCAGAAGGAAATCAAACTTCAGAGGAAAAAGAATCCCCTTTTAAATTCCTCCCCTTCCCATCTCCATAAACTGGAATTTAAACTACCTTCCCCAACAAGCATTCAAGAGCACACTTTACTGTCTTGTCTTTCCAGATCCTTCTGGAGGTAGAATTTATCCAACTCTAATTACTACCCTATTCAAATCAATAGTAAATTTTGTCCAATATCTATTTCCCTCCACACTCCACCACCATGTGCTTTATTCCAACCTAAAAGAACTTTGGTCTCTTTTTTTCTTTAATTAACTGAGAATCTACTTTACCAGTTTCTCCCCCAGACATCTGTCCACTTCCCACTCCCACACACCAAACCCTCTCATACTACTTTCCATTAGATCCTGGGATGGGACTGAAAGGGTTTTGAGACAGAATTACCATCCCTACCCCTTTGTACCTCCTCAGTCCCATCAAGTCAAGCTCTACAAAGGAATAGTACAGCCCTTGAGGCACCTTCCAACCCTGACCTGATCTTGCCCACTTGGCAGCACTCAAGCGCACACGCGTATGTTTCCAGCCAGGCTCCCATAAACATTTCTGCATCTGCCCCATCAACCTGGGGGGCTGGGTCTTGATGAGCCAGTGTGTTGCGCTTAACTTTCTTCATCCGGCCCCCTTGCCCTCACAGGTTCCATCCACTCAGAACCTGTGCACCAGCAGCTCCCCACCCGGCTCACGTTCCCGCCTCCTCAGTTCTTCCCTGTAACAGCAAGAGCAGAAGTTGTTTGTCTCAGGGTGTCCATAAAAGCTGCAGTTCGGTTGTTTGCATTTGGTCTGGGTTGGGGGAAGCCCCCGGGGGCCTCCAGCCCATCCATCTGGCTCAGGGGGTTCTCTATAGCCGTTGCTATAGGAATCAGCCACGCGAAAGTGGGGTGGTAACAATGCACCCCTGTGAACTCCATCCTTGGAGTGACTGCCTGGATCCAGAGAAGGGATGCTGTCCTGGTGGGAGTAGGGTCGCCCAGGAGGGCACTGTCTGGGAAAGGTCGCATATGGTGGCAGGCCCCCCCCACAAGGACCCCCTGCCAACTGCCTTCGGGGTTCCTGGCAGTGCACTCCACCCCCAGAAGGCCGAGGGATAGTAAAGCCCCCAGGATAGCCAGTAGAGTATGCCAGTGCCTTGGACTCTGCTCGGGGGGCAGTCAGTTCCTCCCCGCCATCTGGCTCTGGCTTTTTGGCCGGGGGAGGCCCACTCCCTACCCCTCCATTCATGATCTTCCTCTCTGCCTCCTTCTGTTTCTGCTCTGCCAGGAATCTCTCCTCAGCATCAGATAGGTAGCGCTGGATCATCTCCTCCTGATATTGGTGACGGTGACCCATCTTCAGGGTTCCAACAAAAATAAATTTCCCCTCCCCTTGCATGGCAATCCTCATAATGCTCAGGCTTTGCATCACCTCCTGGCTATACTTGCTCCCTCCATTACCAACAGACTCAGATGTGGGCTTCTCAGATACAGGTCCATCCCCCACTACCTCCTCTTTGACACCTTTCCAGCTCTTCAGTGAGTTTTTCTTCTTCTTCTCCAGTGTCTCAGTGCCACTGCTTACCCCCGACCCGGTTCCCACCCCTCCAGGCTTAGAGCCCTTGCTGTGCATCAGGCCTCCCATGTTCTTCTTGAGCTTGCTGCCCAAGGTTTTGCCAAAGCTGCCCAGTTTGTTAGCCACAGAATCTGCTCTTTTCTTGTCTTTCTCCCGATCTCGCTTTGACTTCTCCTTCCGCCGGCTGCCTTCATTGCTGGTAGAACTACTGCCAACTGACTCCTTGTCTGATTCCCCAGATTCAGGAGTAGATCGGGGCTCATCTCCAGCTGAGGCTGTGGGAGACTCAGGTTGGGCCAGAGGAGCCTAGAAGAGACAAAAACAGTGCTGACGGTTATCCCAATGGTTTGGGCTGGACCTTGGGCCCATCCATCAGCTCTCAGGGCTCCCTGCAGCCGCTGTTACAGGAATTAGCCATATGGAAAGGGTACTAAGTACCCTGTGAACTCCATCCTTAGATTGCCTAGCTCCAGAGAATGGCTGTTGTCATGACGGGGAAAGGTCACCCAGGATTCAGAATCTGTCCTTCTCTGGCTCTAGTCAGCTTTCTCATGGGTTAAAGATGTATGTAATATCCAACTTTGATCTCAGCCACTGCCATCTGACTCCTTTCTATTCTAGATACCAAAAGAAGCCTCACTGCTCACCATGTATTGTATGGTGAACAACTGTGCAACCATACAATACTCAGCTTCTGGGTAAGGAGGGAGAATATTTCAGATACCAGAATGTCCTTTATTATAAACATCTCTATATCAAGTACTGTTCAAAATTAATCTAAAGGAAGTCTTGGCTAGTCACAACCAACAAAGCCCAACCATCCTTTTAAACTTTAGCACTCTGATGTTCATCAATTTTCTCTTGTTCCTGCTGTTCTAACTTAGAACCCCCGGGGTCCCAAAACTCCTGAAAAAATTCTGTCTCCTCCTGGTGCCTAAAACAGGTCTAACTACAGCATGATTGGGACAAAGTAATGACAACCTCAGGTTCATCAGAAAATGTTTTTGTTTGTTTTGTTGTACTACAGATTGAACCCAGGGGCTTATATGTGCTAGGCAAGTGGCTCTACCATTGAGCCACTTCCCAGTTCCTAGAAAGTGTTTCCTTTTTTAAAAAAATTATTTTTTAGTTGTAATTGGACACAATACCTTTATTTTATTTATTTATTTTTATGTGGAGTTGAGGATCGAACCCAGGGCCTTACACCTGCTAGGTGAGCACTCTACAGCTGAGCTACAACCCCAGCCCTAGAAAATGTTTCTTAAAGACCGCATTTTAGTATAAGAAAGCAGAGCCTGATTGGAGAAATATAGTCCACAGAGGAAACTAACAGGTAGCAAGGTAGGAAAAGGTATCCTTTGGAAATTATCTGACATCTTCCCATTACTCCTAACCTTGATGCGTAAGCTACCTCTCAGAACAGATTTAGAAGGTAAGCACTAATCAGATCTCCTTATTCTGTCACTGAAAGTGAGGCAAATGTGGGTAGGGATGGAAGAAGCTTTCACCTGTGCATCAGAAGACAATGGGATCCACTTCACATTCATGTAGCTATGCAGCAAATGCAATTTAACCTCTAGGGACAGAATTACACTGTGAAAAGGAGAAAAAAAAAAAAGGATTTAAAAACTTAATGTGATCTAGTAAAGAAAAGGGGTATGATATAGTTGAGAAGAAAGGTGGATGGAGGGGCCTCTACACATGGCTTAGGACTCAAACAGAAATGGGTTTTAATCAAAGCTCCACCAATTACTAAACTTTTGTCCTTGAACAAGTCACTTCAACCTCCCTGAAACTCAGCTTGAGTTAATAATGGGTGTCGATAATCATATCTATCCTGTGGCATTGTGTTAAAATAGTGTTTAGAAAGGGCACAGCCATGTCTGGAAAATACGAAATACTAAACAATAGCCATTATTATAATAATATTATGTGAGGACTTATTTTTAAAAAGCCATAAATGCTGGACTTTAAAATCAAACTCCTTCAGCCAGTTCCCAAAGTTTCAGAGGCCCAAAGAAGGAAGCACCAGGTAAAATGTAAGGGAAGAACTTTTACGTTCATATGCTGGGAGGCAGAAAGAAGTTAAGCAGGCCACGGAGAGTGAGAGGGAATGTATTTTTATTGCTGACTAAACTCCAGAAAGACAAAACCCACAGCAAACTAATTTGGTCAGTTATTTAAAATTCTTTTCAATTAAGCTGAGATAAAGTGTGATTTGATTTTCTGACCACTGCTTTGGTGATTCTGGGATGTATGAATGGAGGAACATTCTTCCTACTGTTAAGAAAAGAATGGCTGAGGCCCCAGGATTCCCATCTTTCACAGGAAGACAAAGCACCCACAATATGCAAAAGTCTTGGTGCCTAACCCCTCTTCCCAAAGAAACTTCAGTTAAGATGCAACTGTCTGGCCTCTGAGCTAAGAAAAATCCCCAGGACATAGCCCCTGCTTATGGAAGAGAGTCCAGCTACAAAATAGGATGGAAAGGCTAGGCCTGCCTCACCTGGCCAATCGAACATTGTCATTGTCATCTTTGCCCCACTCCCAGCCCTTTCCTGGGTCCACAGCAAAGTGCAAGGGCAACAGCTTATGCTCTGAATCTGTAAGTGGGATCACAGCTGGGGAGGAAAAAAGATGCCGTCAAGGAATCTCCTTGAGGAGAGAGGAAGGCAACTGAACACAAACTGACTTCACTAAAATCATATACAAGTCTCTAGTCATAGTCACTTCTCAATTCTTACATGTGAATGATCCCAGGCATTAAAAAACAATAGGCTAGTTTTCCCCTACCTCCCAACACACAATTTAGGCCACTAATCTCCATGACTCCCCACCAGTCAGTCAACTAACTCTCATGATATTCTTGAGTTGTTTATTCAGGGAATTCAGAGTCATTAAGATAAAGACAAATGCAGCAAAGCACCTTTTAAAAGGTGCTATGACCTTAATCCATGAGCCCTTTTCTCCAGAGCAAGGAATATAATTTATGTTCCCCCCTCAAACCTTTTGATTTTTTAATTCAAAAACTCTGGTGTACTGTATAACTTAGGAAAAGAGTACCAACATGCATTGTGTGGGCTTGTATGTTGCCCTTAATTCTTTCCTCCTATGTTAGCTCTCATTTCCACTCTTCTAAGTGAAAATAATGCAGACCAAAGGACACTAGAGACATAGACATGCATTTAGCACCTTGTTCCTTGGCATTCTCCTTCTGCTCCATGGACACAAGTGCAGAAAAGTGGGCCTGATCATAGGCAAGCACCAAAGGAGATCGGTGACACTGGCTGGCTGGGACCTCCAAGGGCAGATAGATTCCCCCAAAGGGAATAGGGGCAAATGCTGTAGGAAACCATAGAGATTATTACTAAGGCTGTGTTCTTGCCTAGTGGAAAATCCCTCCACCTGCCTCTGCCAACTGAGTCCCCACTTTCATTCCAACTTCTTTAATAATTGTTTCCAAAGAAGTCTCAGCAATTAACCCCAACTGCTTTACTCTGAATCTCTTCAGAATTTTGCATTTGTTCTAATATGTATCTTTTCTTCCCCCACTAAAAGTCTATATATTTTTCTTTTCTTTCTTCTTTTTTTTTTTTTTTTCAGTACCAGGATTGAACCCAGGTGTGCTTAGCAACTGAGTCACATCCCTAGCCCTTTCTATTTTGAGACAGGGCCTTGCTAAGTTGCTAAGGCTGGCTTTGAACTTGTGATCCTCCTGCCTCAGCCTCCCAAGCCACTGGGTGTGCACTGCCTGGCTTATACACCCACTTTTCTGCTCTCTTCCTGGTGTTTATTCCAAGGCTCTGCCAATAGTGGGTGCTCAGGGTGGAATGAGGCCTGGCTGGCTGACTCACCTTCTCCTCCAGAGTCCCTCAGCATGGTGTCTGCCACGACGACGATGGGCCTCCTAAGCACATGAGCAAGGACAAAGACATGGAACTCTTCTAGGCTCTCATAGACAGGCTCCTCTGAACTTTCCACCCTGGAGTTGGAGAAGAGAACAGGTGGAAGGGGCACAGTGGAAGGAAGCAGGAAAAACAAAGTGAGAGCCCTGAAGACCAATTCTGAAGACAGGGAAAAGCAAGTCCTTTCCTTGTTTTTCAATCTTAAGGCTACCACTGATCTAGCTGATTATTTTATTACTAGCTGTTTCTACTTCCATTTCACAAATAGGGAAATCCAAGAAAGAATATTTGAAGGCTCTGTGGCTAAGGTGGCATTTGGAAGTTAAAGGTAATCCCTGTCTCTTAATATTCATCTTGCTCAACAAGTCCCTCATTTCTCTTATCCAGTGGCCCAATACACAACAGCATAACCTCATCCTGCTTATCTTACCTACCACAAACACCCACAATTTGTACTAATCATGTCTTACAAAAGAAAATTCCAAAATTCCTTTTTCTGTGTTCCCTTAAAAAATAGCCTCACATTCTACTCAGTAGCTTAATCAGAAATTTGTGAAATATTCCCATTTTTTATCTCAAGCTTCAATTAATCATGTGGTTAGATCAATTCCATCTCCTGTGTGTCTCCTGTCCCTGTCTCTTCTGACCTATCTTTAGTCTATCACTCGCACACCCTCAGCCCTCTTGCCTGGATTATTACTACTATTGCCTTTAGTCTCACTCCCCCCTCCACCCCATCATCCACTGTGGTATAAGTGTGTTCAAATACAGAGAACATACCGTGCTTTTACAAGTGTGCCCTTGTCATGGGTCCTCTCTTTCCTTTAAACAACCTCTTAGCACAGTGCTCTCTAGACAGAAAACTCCAGAAAAATTCTTTCCTCCTCCCCATTTTGCCACACTTACCCACCACCACTGGCTCCATTGGTACCTAGATGCATTCGGGGTTCACTTGAGGCAAGTTTGATCAGTTCATTCCATTCCTTCTGCCATTCATCCTCTGTATATACCAGCCCTGACTGTGAAAGATAAGCAGGGGATGCCAAGCAATGAGAAGCAAGATTCTAAGAGGAAATACCCATTTTAATTAATTAGTCTCTTAGTACTTGATTTACAATTGTACCACAAAATCAAATTTCTTCCCTTTTAAAGTCAAAATCCATAGAAAGAACAGTCTATTATCTTTCTCACATTTTAAAAATCTTCTATTCTTTTCTGACCCATTACAATCTGGTTTTTATTTCTGCCTTTCATCCTACTCTCCCAATCCCCGACATATCACTTCACCTAACTCCAGTAACGGATAAGTCTTTCAAATTGCCAAATTCAGGGGCTGGGGTTGTGGCTCAGCAGTAGAGCACTCTCCTAGCCCTGGGTTCGATCTTCAGCACCATAAAAAAATAAATAAATAAAATAAACGTATTTTTTAAAAAATTGCCAAATTCAGTGGACTCTCTAAAATCCCCAAGATGACCTCCCAAATCCTTATCTCTAAGCCCATATTACTTCTTAATTTCTATTATTCACATATCCAACTACCAATTAGATACTTCTACCTGTCCAGAGCTACCTCAAATTCTTGACATAACAACTTCTGTCTCTGCCCAAACTCATTCTTCTTTCTATATTCTTACCTTAGTGAACACCATCAATTATCATCCTAATACCCAAACGAGAAACCAGGGAATTATCTAAGATTCCTTTCCTTCCTTTACCCACCTCATATCTGGATCCCTTCAGTCAATAATTATGAAGCATTAACCACTTCAGTGCACCCCCAACTTGTTTGTTACCTCTAGTCATGTACGCATGTACTCTTCTAACCAGCTTTCTACAATGCTACTGGAAAACTTTTTCTAAAGTTAAAATCTGATGATGTTTGTGTCCTGATGAGAATTTTTTTAGTAATCCTCATTGTCTGACAGACTTAGTTGAAACTCCTTCCCACTGCATGTAACACCCACTTCCTGGCCCCTACCCACTTATCTAGTTGAATAGCTCCCTGATTTAAAAGTAGTACCTGAAGTGCATCACGTTGTTTTGTACCTCTGAGCTTTTGTCTTAGTTGCTCCTTTTCTGCCTGTTGTAGTCCACTTGTCTATCTGGTAATTTCTAAACTTTCAGGATAAAACTCAAGTACCTCTCCTCTGTGAAGTCCTTCCTAAATATCCCTAGTAATTTAAACACTCCTTTTTTGTGCCTTTTCTTCATACCTGTTTCATTTTGTTGCAATTATGTGTTTGAAATCCATTTCCTACTACTGCTCTTAAAAGCCAGGATGGTGTTTTATGTAATATGTTCAGTGCCTAATTTGTGATCAGTAATCAGTAAATACAAGTTAAGTAAAACTGTAATTTTTATTAAAGGAGTGTGTGTAGTGGTATGATTTAAAAATATCATACTGGCTTTAGCATGTATATGATAATTTGAGAGACAAGTTTACTTTTTAGACTTTATTTGGCTTATATCAGTATTAAAATGAATTTATACTGTTTAATTAAATACCAACAGTAGAAGGATCACATTAGAAACATGAAGAATTTAAGAGCTATTTTAAGTAAAAAAGACAAAAAGCTATTTTCAATTTATAAATGCTATTACAAATTTCATTTCAATTAAAGATAAAAAGAACAATGCACAAATTATATGTGGAAGATTCTAGTCACTCTCATATAATCTCTCTCTCTCTCTCTCTCTCTCTCTCTCCAGGAGGATCTGACTTCCTCTTGCCTATTTCTGATTCCTATTTTTAATACACATAACCACTAGGTGGCATATACTTCTAACCTTATCATTAAGAAAATATTAGGCTTTACCATTAATTTGAACAAAAACCAAGAAGGCTTGAGAAATCAAAACTAATTAAGTTTGGTGTTTGGTACTAGAGTAAGCCAAAAGAAGCTCCTCAATCCTCTTCCCATTCCCCCTGCCAAGGCTGGGTACAATGCCACACACTTGTAACCTAAGACAATTACATAGGCCACATTTCTAGTATGGAACTTGCATTGTGCTGAGCAAAAGAAGTAAAATGATTGCTCCTTCATAGCTACTATGCATTTTTTCTTTTGGAAAGAAAGGAGGTAAACTTAGGATAGAACTCAGGTACTTGAGGGTCTCCTGTCTAAATAGCATCATAATCTAACCCCATCTTAAAATAAAATAATAATGATAAGAGATTTAAAAGCTGGAATTGGGCACACCTATTTTGACTATTTCCATAATTTTCACTTCATAATTGGTATGCTCTTGTTTGTCCTCTTCTTGTCCCTGGAGCAGTCAAATCTAAGGTTCAGGTGAATAAGCAAAGCTAACTACTGATTTGCTAGGCTGACTCTAGCTCAGACAAAAGACACTTTCCACAGTGCCAAGCCCAAGTTTTGTGGCAAGAAAGATTGTCACTTGCCAGGCGCGGTGGTGCACGCCTGTAATCCCAGAGGCTCGAGAGGCTGAGACAGGAGGATTGTCTGTTTAAAGCCAGCCTCAGCAAAAGTGAGGTGTTAAGCAACTCAGTGAGACCGTCTCTAAAATACAAACTAGGGCTGGGTATATGGATCAGTGGTTGAGTGCCCCTGAGTTCAATTCCCAGTAACCTACCCCCCCCCCCCAAAAAAAAGAATATCACTTATATTGCTTTGCCCATGGATTTATTTCTAATATTTATTGGCTGATTACAAACAGGATTCTAATCTTAATATCATCCTAATTTTGACAACTAAAATCTTTGTTTTGTTTCTTGGTGATGCTGGGGATTACAGGGCCTTATGCATGCTACACAAGCACTCTACCAACTGAGCTATATTCCTAGCTCTCTGGATATAATTTTTGAGAAAGAAACAATACATCTTTCTTATATATTTTAAAACTTAGGACATAAATTTTTTTTTTCTTTATACCAGGGACTGAATCCAGGGGTACTTAATCACTGAACCACATCCCTGGCCATTTTTCATTTACAGACAGGGCTTCTCTAAGTTGCTGAGGCTGGCTTTGAACTTGTGATCCTCCTACCTCAGCCTCCCAAGCCACTGGAATTATAGGTGTGCACCACCATGCTCAGATAGGACATAAAAAAAATTCTAAATAAAATAAACTCTTAGTTCTATATCATTACCAGTTATAATAATACAGTCAAAGGAGGAAAAAAAGAAACTAGATAGAAGGACAGAGAAAGCTTCTGAAGAGATATTCTCATATTCAATGCCAGAAACACCCAAAACATGCCCCCCCAAACAAACAAAAAACCCAGATATACATGAAGAGCAGGGGATATAAGCATAAAAGACAGAACCAAGAAAAAATGGACTATGGAGGTCTATTATTTTATGTAAATTATAATATCATTATTAAAGAGAAGGGATCAGTCAACTTTTTCTGCAAAGAGATAGATAATATATATTTTAGGCTCTGCTATTCTATTATTGGAATAGGAAAGCAATTACCTTTAGAAACATACATGAAATAGACAGGGCTGTTTCATTTTGCCCAACCTCTGTTATGAGGATGGAAAGTACAGATAATCTATTGCTACTTTTTTTTCAATTTTTAATCCATCTAAAACTGAGTATATGCATCCAAAAACTTAAGCACTAACATTCTATAAGAATTTGAAAACATAAGTCCTTAAAAATTAATCTAGCCTTATTTTAAGCCAAAAACCAAAATAAAAAATCCTTAGAATTTTCATACCTCATTTTGCAAAACACTGCCACGGAAGGTATTATCTTTCATATGAAAAGCACAATGTTAGACACCTCTTTTTAAGTCTCAGCTTCCCTACACCAGTTCTTATGATTGTATCAGAGAGCATTTACCCTATGGTATAGGTCACTTGCATTTTCCATAACTTTCAGGATTACAAGGGAAATACTACTGATCTGACTGATTTTATTCGTGTCTGGATAACTTCGCTAAGTTGGTAATGTGAGCACACAAGGTGCCCCCCCAGGCCTCCTACCTCCTTGTTCTGCTGGGTTTGCTGCCACCTCCAGCGCCTTTTCAGTGCTTCCTTCTCGACTCCCTTCTCCATCAGTGCATACAGAGCTTTCCTCAGCATCAAGTCCCGATCATGGAAACCCCACATCCCTATGGCAAGAAAGCATGACGTAAAGGAGCCTTACCTGACTCAACCCCACTTACTAATTGTGGTTTGTGGTTTTGTTTTTGTTTTTTACAGTTCTCGGGATTAAATACAGGGCCTTGAACAAGCTAGGCAAGTGCTCTACCGCTAAGCTTCACTCTGAACCCCTTGTACATGAAATTATTAATTATGATACACAGACATTGGCATGAAGAAAATCAGGCTAAAGACCACGTTCAAAGAAACTCTAGATGTAATTTAGGGAAGAAGTACTAATCAAGAAAGGATGCTCCTACTCTGGAGGTTTAGAGACTTTGAGAACCTGAGAGTGAGGGATATAACACCTCCCACAAACTCCTGACAGGAAGCCCTCATTCCTGAGGCAATTCTAACAAACTTAAATACAGAATAGTGGCAGACAAGACTGATCTGGCACACAGCAATCAGTATCCAAGCTTGAGGAATGGCTAGAAAATGGAGAACTTTTTTAAAACTAAGAGCAAATAATGTACTGAGTTATGGATAGGTTTAGTAAGTTAAAGTAAGTAAGTGTCAAAAAGGACTGCTGAAGGGCTGGGGATCTAGATTAGTTGGTAGAGTGCTTGCCTTGAATGCACAGGCCCTGGGTTCAATCCGCAGCACCACACACACACAAAAGGACTACTGAAAACATCTTTTTTATACACCAAAGGAATAACTATCAAGTAGAATTTTATACACACACGCACACACAGAGTTGTATATTGCTTGCTTAGTGTTGCTCATTATACCTAGAAGTCAGCTCACAGATTGGGGATTAAGCTAAACCCTGTGTTCACCTCAACAAGACTGAAAAACCAGGACAGGGCTCTCTCCCATCTCCTGCACACACACACACACACACACAAAAAAAAAAAAAAAAAAAAACACTGCTGTGTATTAACTTCTGCCAAGGATCAATTTGGTTGCGTCAAGTCCTACACATAAGATTTGATTCAATTTCTTCCTTTCTACCAGGGTATAGAAAGCTGTTTTCAAGACTCACCAAGAGAGGCTGCATGCAGAAGGCAGTTCCCATCTCCAGTAGTTGCCAAAGGAAGCAGCCTCTGACAGGTGGGGTCCACACTAACCCACCAATTCAAACGTCCTGGAGAAACATGACAGCAGATTAGCCTCCTCTAGGAGTACTACCCAGAATAAAACCATTGTTCTATTACTCTAAATCTTCTTAAGACATATTTAGTCAGTCAGAATCTGGTGAGCATAACTGGTTAGATCAATGGATCTTAAGTAGGGACAATTTTGTTCTAAGAAAACTTTAGGCAATGTATGGAGATACATTTGCTTACCAAAACTGGCAGGGGATTTGCTACTAGCATCTAGTGAGGAAGAGACAAGGGATGCTTCTAAATATAATGCACAAGGCAGCTTGCGCAACAAAGAATTATCAGGCCCAAGATGTCAATTGTGCTAAGATTGAAACTGCTGGCTACTTGGACTGGCCCTGATTTCTTCACTCTGGTCAGGAGATCTGTAAATACTGTGGCAACAAAACTCAGTATAAATCCATTATCAATATAACAAATACAACTCTGTATTATCTGCATATGTGATAATCAGCATATCAGCACGTATGTGGTATGACTTTAAAGACAAAAGCAATAAGACAAAGTATATGAAACACCCAAGAAAATGAGCCTTGATTCTGTATAGTCATCTAATACTTCCCATTATTTACAGGAGGAAATACTTTAGTTAAAAATAAATATATTTACTTAAAAACTTTATTTAAAAGTTTTCTTGAACTACAGAAAGAAAAACTGGCCTAAATTTCACTAGCCCAGATGACTTGCTAACTTTTTAAAAAACTATAAATGCATGTAATTAATATAGACAGGTACAAAAGGAAAAATAAACACTCCCTTAGTATGCCCCACCTCCCCTCCAGTCTTTCTCCCATGGGAGTATTTTTTGTTTTGGGTTTTTTTGGGGGGTACACCAGGTATTAAACTCAGGGGCACTCAACAACTGAGCCACATCCCCAGCCCTATTTTGTATTTTATTTAGGGGACAGGGTCTCACTGAGTTGCTTAGCACCTCACTTTTGCTGAGGCTGGCTTTGAACTTGAGATCCTCCTGCCTCAGCCTCCTGAGCCACAGGCGTGCGTCATCATACCCGATGAGTTTTTTTTAACAAGTGAACTTTTCCCAGGATTCCCAGCTGCCTTGCTCTATATTAACTAATTTTAATAGTTTAAGACAAACACAAATGTTAAAGTACATAGATTTAAGGGGAAAGGTTCATATAGATAGGTCTGACTTCTACTGCATCATCTATATCAATAGTACTCTGTTCTCAAGGGTGCTCCACAGCCAATTATAATTAGTTTGTGCTCTTTCATACATTGATTTTTAGGTACTGATTCCTAGGCCTTTTACATATATATATATATATATGGTTTCCTTTCTATCAAATACGAAACTTCCAAAATAAAATGTCTAATCTGTATCCTTTCCTGTAACTTTAGAAAGCACTAGCTCAGTACATGTTTATCTGACTACTGCTTTTTTTTATGGAATGTTTTACAAATTTATGTATCATCCTTGTACAAGGACTGTGCTAATCTCTATATATTGATCCAATTTTAGTATATGTGGTATGGAAGTGAGCACCTGACCTCTGCCTTTGACTGCAATCAGATCACACACTAGAAGCTATTGATCAAGGCCAGCCCTTCCAGGTGGTTATCTACAGGTACAGAATAGAGGGAAGAACACTGGAGATGAAGCACTCACTGACCTGCCTGTTCCAAGGCAACCAGCATGGACTGCTCAATGAGGTCTCTCTCTATGAAGCTGCGGAAGTCTTCATTGTACACAGTGAGATCTGGAAGCTGGAAGGCACAGATGGGCATTTCCAGGGGGTGCTCACTGCTCCCCCCACCCCCACCATTGGAGGAGACATGGGACCGGGCCAGGGAAACAATGCTGGAGCTGGCGTGGGAGATGCCCCTAGACAGGCGTTTTTCTGCAATGAGAAATGGAGTCACCTTAGAACATACACAACCCACTCAGAGAACTCTCCACTGATGTGATGGTTACCTCTTGACAGGGTTTCCAGTCAGGGAAAAACTGAGTCTAACCAGCTTCTAAACATCATGGCCCTTTTTCTCAAGCCAAGTAAAACTGAAGAAATACAGAAAGCGACATTTTTGCAGGCACCAATTAGCACCAAATATACATTCCTCTTTCTACCCTTGTTTGAAATTTGCCTCACCATCCTCTTCCTATGACTGTATTCTTCCACTTCTATTTTCAATATGAGAGGGTTTGCAACTTGATCCTTTAGTAACTTGATCGTGGTTTGGTAGAAGGAAGAGGGAAATGGGGTCTCATTAGACTAGATTTAGTCTAACAGTCTCTCTGATACTTCTCAGGGTCTTGGAGAATGTGGAAAGAATTTCCATTATAGAAAAGAAAATTAACAGAATCTTATTCACACAGGAACTTTCATCTTACCATCAAAAACACCTATTTATACTATTTACTTCATCTTTTCTTGATATTCTCATTTATCAGAAATTTATAGGGACAGTCAATTCTTAACATGCTACAGAGGTAAAGAGTAATATAGATAGTGCCCTAAATCATTTCATCTGTTTTGAATATGTAGCACTTGTAATTCCCCCACCAATATTTCACTGTGAGTGCAATCTACTTAGTGTAGTATTATAATTCATTTGCATGGCTTAAGTTATATAATAATTATCACAGAGGGATCGAGTTCAAGTGTAGGGTAGCCATTCTCGATTCAGTATTTCCCAGAGATGAGATGCACAAAATAAATTTCCCTCCAACCCCATTACTAGGGATTGAACCCAGAGGCACTTTACCACTGAGTTATATCCTCAGCCCCTTTTTATTTTTTGAGACAGGTTCTCACTAAGCTGCCTACGCTGGCTTCAAACTTGCAAGCTTCATGCATCAGCCTTCCAAAAGTTGCCGGGATTATATGCATGTGCCACCTCACCAACTATGAAGTAATAGTGATATTATTTTAAAATATTTTTTAGGAACTTAAAAAGTACCATGTGCACTTTTTAAAGTGGTGGTGCACACCTATAAGCCTAGCAACTCGGGAGGCTGAGGCAGGAGAACTGCTAGTTCAAGTTCAGCCTCAGCAACTTAACAAAGTCCCATGCAACTTAGTGAGACCATGTCTCAAAATTTAAAAAAGGACTGGGGATGTGACTCAGTGGTTAAGTACCTCTGGGGTCAATCCTCAGTACCAAAAATAAATAAATAAATAAATACAAATAAATAAAAAGTACCACATGTCTGCCTGACCATGGTAAAAAAATAAATAAAAAATAAAAATAGTATCAAAAGGGATAAAGAAGTTTCCCTTGCAATCAAAATTCTTGAACCCTTCCACAGAGACAAACTTTTATATCCTTCTGGAAATTTTTAGGGACACAGAAGCACATATAGCTTTTTAAATTGTATTTTTAAAATACAAGGAGCATGCTACATACATTTTAATAAATCTTACCATTCAGAATATATTTTTAGAGACTTTTTTTCTAAAATATCACTCAGTTCTACCTAATTCTTTCTAATGACTGAGAGTATTCCACAATATGGATGATTATAATTTATTTAACCACTTTTTTATTAATGGGCATTAAAAATTATCATCAAGTTTTAATTATTATGAAATAGTCACATTGCATGTGTATATATTTATGTATTTGTTTATTTAAAGGAGATATATGCCTATAATCCCAGTGGCTTGGAAGGCTGAGGCAAGAGGATCACAAGTTCAAAGCCAGCCTCAGTAACTTAGCGAGAACCTGTCTTAAAATATTAAAAAGGGCTAGGGATGTGGCTCAGTGTTAAGAGCCCCTTGGTTCAATCCCTGGCACAAAAATAAATAAATAAGTAAGTAAAATACATACAAATACACATATATGTGATGAATTTCTAGAAATGAAATTGTTGAGTTAAAGAATATATAATTTTTCAAATTTTGATAGATACTGGCAAATATTAACAAATTACTCGGGCTAGGGATGTGGCTCAAGCGGTAGCGCGCTCGCCTGGCATGCGTGCGGCCCCGGGTTCAATCCTCGGCACCACATACAAAGAAAGAAAGACGTTGTGTCCGCCAGAAACTAAAAAATAAATATTAAAATTCTCTCTCTCTCTAAAAAAAAACAAATTACTCTCCAAAGAGGCAGATGGCAGTGACCGACTCTTAATTCTACCCTTATATACGCTTTATCTCAATAATTAGATTGTTACCCTCCTTCCTCTATTTCTTTTACACTATCTGAAGAAGGCCTTTATTCAGGATAACACTCAAGATGCAGAGAGACAGTAAGGGGTTCTGGCCCCTGGACAGATTGACACCATCTCAATGTGGGTTTGGCTGGAGATAAGAGTAAGGAAAGAAAACATCTCCAAAGGATCACCAAACTTTCTGAATCTGTTTAGCAATCCCCACCCCTCCTACTCCCTATACAGAAACATCCCTCAGTTAGCCCAGTACCTTGAATGATGTCATCCTGCCGCTGTAGGATGGGTCGTAGAGGGCGAGTGGACTCTCTATCAGAACACCCCTTTTCAGGGGTCTTGGAGCCACTATTCCCTTCACTGAAGGGTGGGGGCAGGTTCCCAGCATGAACTTGACGTAGCTGTTCGAAATCACTGAGGGCAGCACTCACATCCCAATTCTTTCCTATCAGGAAACAAAGCAAAAAGCAAATTATATACTCAGAGTAGAGAGAAACTGGAGGACAAAAAGACGATATCAAAATTGGTAAAATATATTAATACACATTGCAATCATATTCTTTCCTTATCCTGTTTTAATTTTCTTTTTTTTTTTTTATAGAAAGAAAAATGAATTTATTCACAGTTTGGCCAAACCAGAAATATAGCTATTCTGCATTCCCAGAACCCCACAGTGTTTTAATTTTCTTCAAAATATTTTGATCTAAAATGTCAATTTTCTTCTTCTTCTTTTTTTTTTTTTTTTTTTTTTTGTGCCAGGGATTGAATCCAGGGTGCTTACCCACTGAGCCACATCCCCATCCCTTTTTATATTCTATTTAGAGACAGAGTCTCACTGAGTTGCTAAGTGCCTCACTAATCTGCTGAGCCTGGCTTTGAACTCAAGATCCTCTGCCTCAGCCTCCCAAATTGCTGGGATTACAGGCATACACTCCAGCTAAAATTTCAATTTTCTTTATATTTATTGTCTATTTCCTTAATAAGCTTCATGAGGTTAGAAACTTTCTCTCTCTAAACTCAAAGGGCCCTCAGAGATCTAAAAACTTTCTTTCATAGATAAAGGAAAAAAATCTTAGAGAAGTGAATTGTTCAAGACACTTGCTTGCACCAGGGCCCAGCAGAACTTAAGCCCAGGTCTCTTTATTCTGGAATCCAAGAGGTTCTTAGCCTAGGTGTAACTCTAGGGTGTTCTAAGCCACTTGAAGTTGTTTATAAAATTATGAGTGTGTATTTTTCTAGAGAAAGCATTGATAGACATTATCAGCTTATTGAAGATAACCATACCCCCAAACATAAGAATCACTACTCTACTGAAGAAATGCCCCTAGGCGTGGATTGGTTATAATGGATTTTCCTGTTGCTTTCTCCAGTTAAATTATTTAATAATTATATATTGCATAATTATTTACACTTTAGTTATTCCATCTACTATTACCTTAATTGAATTCTTATCACCTAGTGTCCCTCATCCAATCCACTCTAAAGAATCCCAGGAGATTCATCTTTCTAAAGCACAGTTCTGGTCATTTCGTTCCATGATCAAAATCTTTATGTAATGGCTCACCACTACCTACAGAATAAAGACAAGGCTTCTTTGCGTAATATTCAAGGATTTCTATGACCTGGCCTACTTTTCCACCCTTTTCTCTGAGCTTCAATTTCCTTATCTATGAAAATGCAGATGATAATATCAGTATCTATACCTCAGGGCTGTTATAAAGATGAAATAAGTTAAAAGAATGCGGAATAGTGCTTGGTATGCAGAAAGCAGGATATATGCATTTACTGCTGTAGCTATTGTTCTTATTATTAGAATTTTCCAGTTAAGCCGTACTAATCATTCATGCTTGATGATTTTATTTTTAAACCATTAAATTCCCCATTTGTTCAACTCCCTCTATTCACTCTTCTCCATTCACCACTGACTAGAACAGGCTAAGATGCTCCCACTGTAGGGTCTCCCCACCGACTATCTACACTGCCTCAAAAGCTCTTTCCTACAATGTATCTACACAGACAACTCCTAATTAGCTTCAAATGTCACATTCTTAATAAGGCCTCCCCTGACTGCCCAATTAAAATCACAAAGCACCTCATCAAACCCTGTGGTTTTCTGAAGCACTCAATACCTTACATTATAATTTAGGCACTCAATAAATATTTGTTAAATAAATGGTAGTTTTTCCTAAGTTCATGAATGAATGAATGAACAAACAAATAACATATCTTGAGCACTGGATCTGTTTTAGTTCCTCATAATTTTCATCTGGTCTTTTTCTTTTTCTTTCTTTGGTGGGGTGGAGTGGGGACCTGGGATTAACTCAGGGGTACTCAACCACTGAGCCACATCTCCAGCCCTATTTTGTATTTAGAGACAGGGTCTCACTGAGTTGCTAAGTGCCTCACTTTTGCTGAGGCTGGCTTTGAACACAGAATCCTCCTACCTCAGCCTCCTGAGAGTCTGGGATTACAGGCATGTGCCACCATGCTGAGGTTGGTTTTTGTTCTTTTCTGAGGGAAATTAACTGGTTTCTCAGCTGCTTATCTCTCTCCCCTCCCTAATTTAGTTTCTCCTGTTTTGTTTTGCTTTTTTGTGGTTCTGGGGATTGAACTCAGGTAGACTGTGTTTTATCACTGAACTATATCCCCAGTCCTTTATTAGATTTTAAGACAGGGTCTTGCTAAGTTACTTAGCTCGCCTCAAACTTGCTGTCTCCAATTTCAGCCTCTCCTGCTTTAGCTTCCCAAGTAACTAGGATTAAATGTGTGCACCATGGTACACCAGCTTTAATTTTTTTTTTAAACTACAACCAGAGTTAACATTAAAAGGAAAAAATAAAAGACTAAAAAAGAGACACAAAAAGAAAATGAGAAAAGGTCCTTTGATTCCTCTTCTAAATTATATTTTAAATCTATCTACTTCTATCTCTATTGCTACCATTATGGTCTAAATCACCATCATCTCTCACATGAACTGTGGCAATATTCTTAACTGGTTTTACCACTGGCCACCTTCTAATCCATTCCACAACCTACAACCAATACACAATTATAAAAACTCAAATTTCATTATGTCACTTCTCTGATTAAAATCCTTCACCAGCTTCCCAGTGAACTTAAAATATAATTTAAATTTACCAAGGCTATCAACCACTACCCCCCTTCCCACATGTTCTACTTCCTTTCAGTCTAATCAGCTGCTCAGATTCTCATCACTCTTCTATCACTCTTCCTATCTTGATCACTATTAGCTACTCTAATGTGGCAAACTCTCTCTCACCATAGGGCCCTTGTGGAAGCTATTTCTCTAGCAAAAAATAATCTCTTCTACATCCTTTTGTCTTGCTATTCCTATTCAGACTTCAGGGTTCAACACAAATATCACTTCCCCCTCTAAGGCCTTTCTGCACTCTGATCTGGACCTAAATCAGATTTCTCCTGTCCCTCCAGTCTCAGCACCCTCAACTTTTCTTTCATTACATGAGTGTACATGCATGCACACATACAGCGATAATTTGTTATGTAATTGTTAAGAGCCACACTCTGAAACCAAACTGTTTAAATCCTACTTCACTTCACAGAAACTCAGTTTTCAAACTTATAACAGAATGGTTGAAAGAATAAACTAATGTATCTCAATTATCTTATACATATTGAACATTTACAGGTATCTGACACATTACAAGAGGAATGGGGAATGGTTAAGGATTATTTTGTTAAAGAGGAGGTTTTTGAGATGAATCTTGAATGAGAAGGAGACTAACGGAGGAAAGGACATTGCACACTTAGGAAACAACCTAACATGGTGAGGGAAAGGTGGTAAGTTAAGCCTGGCTGGAGCAGAGGAAGTAAAGGGAAAAGTAGTAGGAATTGAACATGAAGTAAAGGGAAAAGTCAAATTGAAATCAGTAACCTGGAATTTAAACCCTGATCTTCTGTTTCCAAATTCATGCTTTTCCCATGGTTGGCTAAGCAAAAGTCACATTGTAATACCTTACTAATGGCTGGCAATCTAAAAAATTGCCTAAGAATGCTAAGTACTTGTCCCTCCTCTGTAGCTTGCCTGTTTGTGCCATTATATAATTTCATCATCTAAAAGCATCATTAATTATACTTATAAACAAATAATCCTATGGACATGATTCCAATCCTTCAGGGCCTTAAATCTAGAATAATCAAACTTATAGCATATATCATATATAAATATAAATAAAAGCAACAAAATAAAAACATTAATTCACTTAATAGAATTACTCATATAAGTTAATAAAGGAAAGAAAGAAAATGGATGATCCCAAATATGAAAATCCAAGTCTTACAGATCTAGATTTGTTTTTGGTTTTGGTTTCTGACTAAAGTAAATTTTCACTTACATTATCTGAATAAACTGACAGTGGAAAAAGCTACCCCAATGCAAAAATAGGATTTGAATTTTAAAAATTATGTTGGATCATATACAAAGTAATAATTTAAATGAAGAACTTACTATACTATACACAAAGTATCTTCCTGATCACCTTACATGTTCCAAATCATCCTAATAATAAGCATTACATTTTAGTTTCTTCTTTCTCACCCTTGACTGCTTACCTTCCAGGAGATCACGGGCCAACCCTGGCTCTGCTCCTGTGGAACGGACAAAATCCGACAGGACAGCATCCATGTCCAGGGTCATGTGATCATCAAGTACTTTCAGGCAGCTGGATGAAGGCAGTGCATAGATCAAAATTCAGGCCTCCACCTGAGAAGGAAATAAATAAAAAAGGCTCAAATTATACTGGAAAAGGATGATCACAGCTCCCATTTTAGCAGCTTTTTTGGGGGAGGGGAGTACTGGGGATTTAACTTGGGGGTACTCCACCACTGATCCACATCCCCAGCCTATTTTGTATTTTATTTAGAGACAGGGTCTCACTGAGTTGCTTGGCGCCTCACTTTTGCAGATGCTGGCTTGAACTCACGATCCTTCTGTCTCAGCCTCCCGAGCTGCTGGGATTATAGGCGTGTGCCACCGCGCCCAGCTATTTAGCAGCTTCTTAACCAATTGGGGAAAATAACTATCCTAGCTCATAGATTTCAGTTAAATTTTAAAACAAAGCAGCTTCAATTTTATTTTGAAGAATAACATTTTATTTCCTAATTCTTTACTAAGTCTTCATCCCTACATTAACCACAAACCACTTTTACTAGAGCTTTTCCTCTACTTTTCTAGAGTATCACATTTCTTCGATGAGTCTGCTTATCTAGACTAAAAAGGGAAGCAGCAGACCACCACCCTCCAGAACTCTCCTCTTTGGGCTGCAGCTGTAGCTCAGGGGTAGAGCACTTGCCTAGTATGTATGAGGCACTGGGTTTGATCTTCAGTACTGCATAAAAATAAATAAAGTATCGTGTCCATCTACAACAGCAACACAAAAGAACTTTCTACTTATAATGGTCTCTAACATGACACCACGTTCATTTCCTTCCTGGTACTTGATGTACCCTGAAGTCATTTTAATCACTTGCTGTCTAACCATGCCTTTTAATATAGAAGTTTCCTGAAAGCGGGGAATTTGTGTGTCTTGCTCACTACTGTGAACAGCACACATCACTTGATATTTAGCATGCAGCTTGGCACACAGGACCTCAATAAATATTTACTGAACGAATAAATGAATGAATACTATACATTGGATAATTTTAGGTTCACTAGTATACTTATGGAAATGAGAGGTATTTAATAAAGTGATTGCCAAAACAATAAGATATTCCGAAAATCCAAGTGGGGATTTCAAAAAAAGTCCGTAACAAAAGTCAATCTTTGTCTACTAACTTCATGAATCCAGAAAACATGCCTACCACAAACATGTCTTCCTCTACCCAGAACAAATACTGTCAAGTATGTTCCCTGAAAAAGATCTCTTCTTTCAGTTTTGACTTTAGCAGAAACTATCTATGACCTGAGAGCCTGGCACCAACTCAACATTTCTCTGAGGTTAACAGTCCCAGCTAAGGGAGCAATAACAGAGTGAAGAACAACCTCTGACCAAATTCTGGTAGGTTTATAGCGTTCTGTATTAGAGGATTCATTCATAAAGTCTCCAGATACCACAAGACAGTGCCCTACTATACCCACCAATCCCGTCTTTTAGGGAAGGCCAAAAGCAGAATCTTTGATAGCAATATGTGTCTCAAATGATTGCTCAAAATCATTTCCTCCTAAAAGTCTAAAGTCTAAGGATGACTCCCAGATACTTTTTCTTCATGCCTCCCCACATCCCAGAACACAGCTTGTTTAGTGGTGTGATCAGACCTGATTTTCTGTTTTCCTTAGAAATATTAAGGCAAATAAACAGCAAAGATTTGTGAGTTAAAAAACAGTAGGGGGACTGGGGTTGTGCTCAGCGGTAGAGCACTCACCTAGCACCTGTGAGGCGCTGGGTTCAATCCTCAACAACCACATAAAAATAAATAAATAAAATAAAGTTTAAAAAAAAAAAAGAAAGAAAGAAATACCTAGTCTTTAAAAAAAAAAAATAAGAAAAACAGTAGGTTGCTGGGCACAGTGGTGCACACCTACACAATCCCAGTGGCTCAGGAGGCTGAGGCAGGAGGATAGCAAGTTCAAGGCCAGCCTAGACAACTTAACAAGACTCCTTCTCAAAATAAAACGTAAAAAGGGTTAGGGATGCAGCTCAGTGGTACAGTGTCCCAGGATTCAATCCCCAGTGGAAAAGAAAGAAAGAACACTTGACTAAGCCACAGGCATGCAGACAATTTCCCAGCCAGACCCAGGCTGGAGAGAAGCAAAAAAAACCATCAGTGAGTGCCCTGGCATCACAGATCTCATGTGTCAACACAATAGGTAGGTCATTCTTTCAAAAAACACTTTTTAAACATAATAACTTGGAGGTCTGACATTATCTAGAAAGACTTGCTCTTCAGCAAAAATATGAAGACTAAAGCAAACTTCTTGGCAACATATTCTTACATTTGTGTCTCTAGTTGCGTGCCAGGGACTCCACCTAACTCCTTCCAACAGGAGAGGAGATGAGCTTTTGTTATATCACCAACACCTGGCTTAAGCTTCTCAAATTCTAAATGGGGACATTAAAGCCATGACAACACTCACAGCCTTAGGCTCTGTGTCAGCACACAGGAAGGAAAAAAAAAAAAAACTAAACAACAACATAAAACACTTGCTTTCAACCTTTCAAATAAAACAGAGGATGCACTCAAATATTTGTTGATTGGTGTAAAGACAGATCTCAAATGGAGTCAAAATCCTCCAATCTTCCAAAGGCAAAGGCCTTTAGCAATTATTTAATCCAACTTTGATTCCATGCAAGAATCTTTTTCTCAACATTTCTGACAGATAAACATCTAGTCTTCACTTGAACACAAGTTCTGACAGGGAACTCATTACTTTGCCATGATATCCATTTTATTGTTGGACAGTTCCAATTGTTAGAAAATGCTTTTCTAAACAAAAGCTGAAACTATCACCAGACTCCCTCCCCCTGTAACTTACATATAATTGTTCTTATTTTGTTCCCTAGAACAATAAAAACTGACCACATGCATGGAATTTTCATGGAAAATTATTAGATAAAGCTTCCTTTTCATAACACTTGTAGATCAACTCTGCAATATTATCATGAGCCAGGCTTTATTTTACAAAAGCCTTCCTTATATCAGTACTTGCTTGTATCTGTATTCATTTGTAAATGTTTATGCTGACTCTATAGTATAAATTCAACACCTTGAATAAATGAAGTACATTGTGCAAAATTCACTGTTGCCAACTTTGTTTCTTCTCACTCCTACTTCCACTTCCATGCCCTCTTGAAATGACAGCAATCAAGAATAAAAACTGTTAGTTAAGAACTTTCAAAAATGCTCCCTTATTCAACAACAAGACTGCAACTGGTCTCATTATATCCAATTTACAAATACAGAAACAAACAAACAAAAAGCCTTGACAAGTCAGGTGGATGGCCCTAAGTCTGAACCTCTGATATTTCTGTGAGACCACACTGCTTCCCAAGGGATTAGGCCATTATTGATTCCAGGAATTGTACTGATTCTTAACCACTTCTTTCTTTGACTATAGGAAAGAGCTGTACCTAACACATTGATTAAAGACCTGCCTTGAATTTTCCTCACTCCAAATTTGTCATATTCCTTAGCAATTTTAACACCCATCTATATAATCTATCCATAATCTCCACTGCAAAAATTCACTTCCTGAAACTATATCACCTTTAAACCTTTTTTTATTTTTATTTTTTTAGTTGTTGACGGACCTTTAATCATTTATTTCTATGCAGCGCTGAGAACTGAACTCAGTTCCTCACACATGTGAGGTAAGCAATCTATCACTAAGCCACAACCCTGGCCCCACATCACCTTTGAATCTTAAACTCTAACATCTTACTCTACCACAACCTCACTTTTATCCAGCTTTTCCTCACTACTTGAAACTTGCTTTCTAAGACATTCAATCTCTTAACCATCATATTCATTAATTCAACACTAATTCATGGAGTGCCTACTGTATATTAGATACCATGCTCAAGAATAAACACACAACACAATCCTCATCCTTACAAAGTTTCCAGTATGGAAGGGGGGAAAAATCACAAAATTTCAAAAAATTATAATAAAGAAATGTTGGGGAGAGGAATGTTATCTCCTATAAGGAGTCAAGAAAAGCTTCCCCAAAAAGCGATGTTTCACCTAAGAAATGTAGAATAAATAGCAACTGAGAGACAAACTGGGATAGGAAAAATGCTCCAAGCAGTTTAAACATATACCAAAATTCTGTAGCAGGAAGGAACAAAGAGGTGAGAATGGTGGAAAATGAGGAAAAGATCATGCTGATTATAGTGAGTCTAGTTTGGAGGGAGCACAGCAGACTGAGGGAGAATTGGTTAGGAAATCACTACAAGAGATACACTAGACTAGAAAGACAGCAAAGACTGCGAAGAGTAGAAGATTCCCTTCTTGCCTAAACAGAAAGTGAAACCAATGATTTAGGGCTGGGGATGTAGCTCAGTGGTAACACCTAGCATGTAGAAGGCCCTGGGTTCAATCCCTGTCACCACAAAAGTTTAAAAAAGGCGGGGGGGGGGGGGGTGGGGGCGAGGATGGGAAGGGGGATAAGAAACGGTTGATGGAGTGATCGTTTGTTAATATCTCTGTGAAAACCAGGGACTGCTGAGCAAACAAGATCACATAATCTTGCAGAATAGTATCACTACAGACATGGTACTGTCACCTTTTCACTGAAAGACCACTGTCTTTTCCTTGACTTTGTTACCTCAACTAGTCTTCTCAGCTACTATCTATCACACCACTTCATCATTTTCCTTGAGCCTCCCAGTCAATTCATACCACGTTGATGACTCCTGGAAAATGACCTTGCTTTCCACTTCACAGAAAAAAGTTCCAAAACAAACAAACAAAAACAAAACAAACAAACAAGGGGACCCTTTAGGTTTCTCCCCTGCCCTATGTGTGGCTTACTGTTCCCCTTTCCCGTAAAACTCCTTAGATTATGTTCACTCACACTACTTTCTCAACCCATGTTCAGTCCTCAACTAAAATGAGCACTGACTTATGTTAAAATCATGCAATCCTCCTTATTGTTCATCTCCTTGTAGCCTCCCAGGTCACCTTGGTGAACTCTCCTGTGCCTACACTAAAGGTTGGCACACTCACAGTTCTAGTCTTAGGTCTTCTGTCTTCTCATTTTAC